AGTTTGAGGAGTGAAAATGGCAAGTTTGTCACACAATTTCAGGGCTTTCCTGAAATAAGCTTTTACTGGTGCTGAAGATTCATTTTGACTGTATGTCTTGCCTTTATACTTGCATTTGCATTTCCTGTTAGAGACAATGAAAACAAGCCTCCACTCTTCCATGACTATTTGAAGGTGCTCGGGTGCTTCACGTTTCTTGGGTATTTCCTTGTTTCCCTCATTATTCTTTTTGAATAATAATTCAAATTATCTTTTAATAATTTTGCAAACTTCTTTTGTCACGTGTCTATGTAAATTTTTTGCAAGACTTCTTACAGAGGCCGTTATTGCTGGGAAAGAGGGCTAGGACTGAGGGGAACTGTAATTTTTGACATTCATTCCCATGATTTGACAGATTAGGTGAATAACAGTAAGATTCATTCCTAAGCAATGCATCTAGACTGCTACTTGATCGACTTTGTATTTGTCTGGCTTAAAATAACATAATTCACAGCATTTAATAGCAGGATCACAGTGTCTCTCTTGCTGCCAGTTTTTTCTTGATGTCTTGAAAACTGAACACAAGAAAGGAGAAATCTCCTCTCCTACAGGTGAATCCAACTCTTCCATCAATGAAAGTGCTATTCATAGACCTGAGACCATTGCCCCTTCAATCTCCTTTTGTTTTCTTCTACTACCATAACTTCAGATTTAAACTTGAATCTTAAAATGAGTTAAATCACCTCTGCAACATAATTTATGGCGTAGTGTCCCAGTGGCTCTGTTTTAATATCTTCACAATTCCTTTGAGTAAATCCAGAACACTTCAAAATTACAAGTCTTTGTTTTCCTATTATGCTTTTTTGTGGGTTCAAACTTAGACACACATGGAACAGGCTTGTTGTTTTGTGTTCCTTTCATGTAGTATTGATTTGAAAAAGGAGAAAAAAGTGTTTTCTTCCTTTTGTAGTCCACTTAGTTCACAAATGTTTCCAGTAAACCTCTACATTTAATTCAACCATAACTCACAGGGAAATAAACTTTTTGGACTTCAAATCTAACTGGTTTTCAACATCAGTATGTTTTCTTCTCCAGACAAAACTTCTATCATTTGTTTTTATAGCCCTCATTTTGTCTTATTTTTTTTTAAATTGGCTTTAGCGTAAGGTCTTACCTGAAAAGGAAGAAATGCTCGTGATTTCCTGAAGCCAATCAACTGAACATTTTTCTTTGTTTTCTTTATCATGGAACAAAGTCAGAAGGCGGCCATGGGCAGCTATGCAGAATCCTAATACAAATGAAATTCATTGTAAAGCCAAAGGTGCTGCTGTAGCATCAAGATCCATTGGAGGCCTGCAG